AATTAGGTTCAGATTACCATAAATATGTTGATTATTTATGGTCATGTTACATGTATTAATTGCATTTTAATATCATTCCTTATTATAACTATTGAATTGTATATATATTTTGAAAAGTTAATAACTTTTGTATTTTTTATCAATTTTACATATGTAATATATCAAATTAATCTTCTTTTGATGAGCTTCGATTTAACATCCATATTGTATGTATAAAAAAATAATAATTTATATTTATCTTTATAACAATAATAAAATTATTTTTAATATTAATTAGAAAAATAAAATTATTTATCAATTAATATTTATATTTCAAGTAGTTATATGATATAAGTTATAAAAACTAATATAATATAACACATGTAAGTCATAAGTAACACATATCATTCTAAAGTATATACTAATTTTTTTTTTTGTTAAAAAGTAGACTAAATTTAATATAGTTTTCTCATAAATTTTAAAATTTAAGAAAACATTTTTAACAAGCACCCGTGTAATACACGGGTGTTGTACTAGTTTTTAATAAAGGTATTTAAATTTTCCACTAATTTTTCTCATTAATTTTATAGTTTAAGAAAAAATTAGCAAGCACTCGTGTAATACACGGGCGTTGTACTAGTTTATATTAAAGTAAAAAAATTTATTTTAGAAAAGTTATAAAATGTGCCTCAAAATGGAAACAAATACAGCCCGTGGTCGGGTGATTTATTTAAAAAAAAAAATATATAGAAATTAAGTGGACAAAAAAAAAAGGGGGTGGACAAGCATAAAAACCACGTATTCCTTGAATACGTTTTTTAAAAAAAAAATATTTAAGAAATCGTATTCCTTGAATACGTTTTCATTTAAATGTTTTAATTAAAAAAAAAATCGTAAACAATTTTCAAAATGGTTTTCGTTAAATAAAAAAAATAAATAAAATACGTATTTGAGTAATACGATTTAGTAAAACGTATTCACGAAATATGTCTTATAAAAATTTAATTATATTTTAGAAAATACATTTAAGTAAAACGTATTTAAGGAATACGTTTTACAATTAAATGCACAAAAAACGTATTCCTTAAATATGTTTTATGTAAAATATATTAAAAAAAAATCTTCTTCTCCATTCATTTTACGCGAGCAGCAACAGAGAGGAGCAACTGAGAGCAGAGTTTCAAAGAGAAAGAGCGAAAATACTTGAGAAAAAAAAAAAACTCGATCCAATCTTCACTCCAACGTGAACCGAAAACAGCGACACGAGTCTTACTTCCGGTTAATTCATTCGCACGAGGTATATTGGTTTATCTTAACTTTTTATATTTGTTTGGAGTTTTTTGGAGATTGATAATTGTTATAATATGTTTGAATGTGTTGGTGTTTGAAGATTGAAATTGCTAATTGATTAACGATTATGTGTGTATGTTGAATTGGAGATTGAAATATTATGTGTTAATTGTCAATTGTGTAATTGTTTGGTTGTTGTTGTGGTTAGGGTTTTTTGAAATTAGGGTTTCAATTTATCAGAATTATAGATGATTTATATGTTATTGTTCGATAAGGGGATTATTTGATTGAGAATGATTTTTTTTTTTATGGTTTTTTTGGTTGAAAGTGAATTATATATGTTATTGATGGATTATGAGTATTAGGGTTTGATAAAAGAATTCGTGATTTTATTAATGTGTATTGGAATTATCCCAAAGAGGTTTTATATTCATTTTCAGATTTTATAAACCGTCCAGATGGTTCATTTTGCATTGGGGAGAAGATATCATTTCAACAATTTGTAGATATACTTTATGAAAATTTTGGTTTCCGTCGAAATGGTTTGACAATTGAGGGGATTAGTTTACTGACAAACCGACCCAATGGTTCGTGGAATATCGGAAACATGAATACTGATAGTGCCTTTGAGTGGATATATTATTTTCCTGCTTTCTCCTATGTGTATTTGCATTTAGAGTTGAAGCAGGTTACGCAGGCACCTACAGTGATTATGCAGTTTGAGGATGTTCCCCCTTTTTACGGGGGAGTGCTTGATTTTGAAGGTACGTCCACTTTGCATGTTCGTAATTTTGGCCAAGGGACAAGCTCAACAGCCAGAGAAGAACCCGATGATGATTTCATTCCTGATGAAGACGATACATCGGAAACGGAATCGGATAGATCAATAAGCGAGGAGAGTGAACCAAAGTTTATTGAAGAGCACCCATTTTCTAGTACCGGTCAACACGTGTATCGCGAGATGGGTGAGTGGGACCCGTCGTGTGTAGACCGAGATGAGCATGCTCTCCCTCGTTCGAATGGAAATGTCGATTCTATCCGTTTGGGTACTGTTTTTCGGTCCAAGGAAGAAGCACAGATTGCTATAATGAATTGGAACGTGAGTAGATTGAGGGAGGTTAGGTCAAA